CTTTCTGGTGCACACTTGTATTCCTATGCTGGTATGGTGGAAACAAGTGAATTTTTTTTTTTTTTTTTTGAGACAGGGTTTCTCTGTATTGCTTTTGAGCCTGTGCTGGAACTAGTTCTGTAGACCAGGCTGGCCTCGAAATCATAGAGATCCTCCTGCCTCTGTCTTCTGATTGCTGGGATTAAAGGTGTGCACCACCAATGCCCAGCTACAAGTGGATTCTTAGGACTTGCTGGCTAGCCAGCCCAGCCTACTTGGTGAGTTCAGGCCAGAGTGAGACCTTGTCGCAAGAAATGAGAATAAACATAAAGGTAGGAAATTCCTGAGAAACAATACTCAGAGCTATTCTTTGCCCTCCACATCTGTATGAATATATATGCACACTCACACCCCTGCACACACACGATGGTCATACATGCACACATATCCATATACATATTAAAAAATTACTTAGCTCTTCAGCTTTTTTAGAGAGGACACTGACCAACATCTACATAGGGTGTAAAGAACAGGTAGGAGCAAAGCCAGTGTGTTCAGCCTCCTTGCGCTCTGATCCAAGCCTCTACTTTCTATCCACATTCTTAATACTGGTCCTCCTACCCAGTCTCCCGGAAGACAGAGGACACAAGTTGTGTCACTGGCAAAGAACTGACAGCCAGCACATGTGTCTCTGCCCCAGACTTCAAGACCTGCTCTGCAATGGGATGGCATTAGGCCTCTGCTTGCTGCTTCTTACTGAATTTCTCTAGTTCTGGAGTTTAAGATCTTTAGCTTTTGCCCCAACTTCCACAAGCAGAGTTCTACAAGCTGAGTGCTGATGCTGCCTCCTCGTAGAGCCTGCCTTGGAGGCCCAAGACAATCTGGATGTCCCTCTATGGTGTGTTGTAGCACCCCAATAGTGTTCCCAGGCCAGCACCTTACACTGGATTATATCTTTTCTCTGCTCTTCCCATGCCTCCCAGCTCTGTGACCCCTTGAGCTCAAACGAGACAGTTCCTTGAGAATACATCCTGGAAAAAGCCATATGTAGGTTACAATCATTTTCAACTCAATGATAAATTCAGAAGAGAAAATTTATCAGTAATAAATTCAGGCCATCCATCTTCAGGGGTCTTGCAAATATTAGCTAACCAGACTCATGCTTATTTGTTCTAACTCAGACACTAGCTAACCAGACACACAGTTGCTTTCATTCAGACACTAGATGACTAGACATATTGTTGCTTCCATTCAGACACTAGCTAACCAGACACATGATTGCTCTCATTCAGACACTAGATAACTAGACACATTGTTGCTTCCATTTAGACACTAGCTAACCAGACACATGATTGCTCTCATTCAGACACTAGTTAACCAGACACATTGTTGCTTCCATTCAGACATTAGCTAACCAGACACACAATTGCTCTCAGATGCTAGATAACTAGACACATTGTTGCTTCCATTCAGACACTAGCTAACCAGACACATGATTGCTTGCTCTCATTCACACTCACCCACAGAATGTCAGAGACTTGATGTTTTCAAGAGCCTGGTGATTCACAATTTTAACCCTTATTTGGTGTTAAAGAGATGTGCTTTTCTCTGGAACTGTCCCTCCATTTAGGAGCTCTGTCATGCACAGTCATTAATTTATATCTTCCTTAGAATGGAATAATATTGAAAAAGCAATTCCTTTTTTGCCTGCTTTAGCTCCTAAGCCTTTCTCATCCTGAACCTGCCATTTCTTTTCCCCACCTGAAGAAAAATGGCCATTATCATATAAATCTGTTTGGAAAGAACTAATAAAAATGAAAATTACTTAGATGTGGAAAGCCAAAGTGGATTCTTTAAAATAGACACCACGTGGTCACTGAAATATGTATTTGATCCTTTCACTCTTTGTTACTCTCCCCCATTTCTTCTGAGTTTCTGAATTCTTTTGTGTACTTGGTCATTTACATCTCTTGATGATTTACATATAGGTTATTTCTACTGATTAAAAACAAAAGGTGCCTTGGTGAGAATGAGAAGAAATGACTTCAAGCCTTTGTTTTGCAAACTTCTCATACTCATAGCAGTAAAGATGCTGGGACTAGTTGCATTGTGAATGTTGAAGGTAGATTTCCCCAAGGGAGTTTACAGGTGAGGGAGATATAATTAAATAGTTCCAGAATTGTATGACTACAAGTTGAGGTAAATCCTCTGAAAGAAATAATCCAGATAGAGTCATCAGGAGAGAATACCCGGCAATCAAGAGATGCTGAGGTAGGATCAAGAAGATGAAAAAAGTCAAGAGGTAGATAGGCATGTGTGTGTGTGTGTGTTCGTGCACACACTCACATGCGTGCATGTATGTATGTCTACTGAAGCTATGACTTATCTGCTCTGACTTGTGATGGCTGGTTTTGACATCCTTTGACATCTGGGCCTTCCCTCCCATCCCCCCAAATTCACATTCTCAACATTCCTTACATGTTACTCCTTTGTTACTCCTTTGTTTTCTTTCCCAAGGAAGGTACCCAGAATACTGCCCAGGGTCAGTATGCAGGCAGGTATGAATAGTATCTTATCATAGTGATTTTTTCCCCTTATGATTTGAGGAGGAAAAGATAATTTGCAAAATCCCAGCTTTTTCAAGGATTTATACCCAATCCTCTCAGTATTGCCTTGAATATGCTAAGCAGGTTGCTGGCTTTTAAAAATGGGAACTTACGATACCTTAGATTAAAAAAAAAGTTAAGTAAGTAAGTGAGTAAGTAAATAAATAAATAAATGAAAGTAAGTGTGATTTATCACTTTGATCTTGCAGCTTACAAAATGCAGATATTTCACTCTTGGGAATGAATAGCTCTGCTTGCCTGCAAGCAGATTGTAAACGTTGGAGTCCTGACCAGACATTTTGGCTTTTAATGGCCTGCAACCAACAAAAAATAAACACACAGACTTACGACAGCCAGCACAAAGCCAGTCATTCTTCAATGTCCCTGGTAACGTTCAGAATTGCTCTGAAATTGCTGTTAAATTTTTGCAGAATTCAGAAACTAGTCTAACAAAGCAGTGGGGCTAGCACAATAGGGTGCTCTTTCATCTTAAATTTATTTTTGGTGCATGTGTTCATGTGTCTGTAGGTACCCGTGTGTGTGTGTATGGGTATGCTGTGCAGGCCAGAGGTTAATTTTGTATATCATTCCTGAGGAACTATCCACCTTGATAGTGGTATTGTTTGAGGTAGGATCTCTCATTGGCCTGAAAAGCTTTCTGAGTAGACTAATGTGGCTGGCCACAGAATCCCAAAATCCATTTATTTCTGCCTCCTAAGCTCTGGGATTACAAGTTTGTGCCACCGTATCTCTTCCTCCTCCTCTTCCTCTAAGCAGGTTCTGGGGAATTGAACTCAGGTCCTTATGCTTGCAATGCAATCACTTTACCAATTGGGCCACCTCCAGTACCCACTGTAAATTCTATACACCCAAATGGCAATCTCAAGGGACTCAGGATATTATTGCCATTCTCATTCTCACCAGCAGTCAACTGTGAACCATCTCCTGAAGGTCACATAGCAGTCACGAAGCCAGAGAGGCAATGACTCAAGGGTCTGGACTGTCTCTGAGGAACAGAGACCACCTGAAAATGCCGTACCCTCTCCCAGCATTCTAGGACTAATCAGGCAACAATTACACCCCAGACAATGAGTTCATCCTGGCAAGTTTACCAAGTGAAGGAGAAAACTTAGAACCATTGTGGCAGCGGTGTAGGGTAGAGAATAAAGTCAAAATCAGCACAAAGAAATCAGACTGGAACACCTTTGTGCCAGGGCTGACATGCCATGCATGAAGGACCTGTCAAAGGTGCCAGTCTGCCTAGCACAGGTTTCATGGAACCTCATCCCCAAGCTTTGGTCCGCTACTTCCTTCAAATAGAGTTTTGTTTGTTTGTTTGTCTTTCTGGAACATAGTCTCTCGGCCACTATGTGTCCCTGTCTAATTTACTGTTTCATGACAAAAGCACCTAGGAATCCCAGAGGATGCCCTTCAGACTCCAGTCTTCACCCATGATAGTATTCACTAATCAATATCTGAAGCAAAGAGAGAAGCCAGATACAGACCCTGATACTGTTCTAAGAAGGCCCAAGTGCCACTCAGAGGCACACTCAAGCCAAGCTGACCTGAGGCAGGAGGTTGTAGATCAACCCTTCCCCTAACTTGGGGATTAAAATAAACCCTTTGATTATCTATTGTGAATATCAAGTCCATTCGATTCTTAACCTTCATGGAAACTCTCACATCCCACGGGCCATGGACCAAAGAAGCACTTAGCAAAGTGTGGTCCCCAGGCCAGCGTCAGATTAGCACTGCCTTCCGACTAGTTATAGATTAACACCTTCTGGCCTTCCCATGGACCAGCTGAATAAGACAGTTGGGATGGACAGAACCCAGCAAGCAGATCACATGTTAGCCCCACAAATGGTGGGGGGATGTGCATAAATACATCTACAAGTCACTGTTCTAGTGATTCCCATGGGTTTATTATTGTTATTATTGTTGTTGTTAGTAGTAGTAGTAGTAGTGGTAGCAGTAGTGTGTATGTGTGTGAGTATATGTATATGTGCATATGTGAGTATATGTGTGTGCATGTGTGTGTGCACATATGTGTATTAGTGTATCTCTCTCTGTGAGTATATGTATGTGTGCACATGTGAGTATATGTGTGTGTACATATGTGTATGTAGTGTATGTCTCTGTGTGTGTGTGTGTGTGTGTGACACACTGTGCATGTGGAGATCAGAAGTTAGTTTCTCCTTTTATCAGAGATTCTGGGCTTGAGCTCAGGTCAGAAAGCTTGCTTTCACTTGCTGAGCCACCTCACTGTCCCTGTTTTTGTATAGAAAAATAACCACTTTAAAATTGTCTTTCATTCATTTAATTTAACACACACACACACACACACACACGTACATATATATATACACATACATACATACACACACACATACATACATATATATTTCTTTTTACCTCATTTCCAAGTCTTCATTCTCTTGGGGTACAAATCTATACAAGGCAACGTAGGTGTTCATCTGTAATGGGTCTTTGGAAAGAGGTCCCTGCCAGAGAAGATAAAAAAGATAGAGCGAAATTGAGAGGGGGAGGAAAGAAAACAGAATGAAGACAGGACTGCCATGAGTGTCCATGTGCAGCTCTCACTAGTCAAAACCAATGGCCATCACTGAGGTGGAACTCTCTCACAACCTTACCTTCCTACTGATTGATTGATTGATTGAGTCAGGGTCTCTCCACATAACCCTGGCTGCCTTGGAACTCATTATGTATACCAGGCTGCCATTGAACACACAGAGATCCGCCTGCCTCTGCCTCTCTAGTGCTGGGATTAAAGGCGTGCGCCACCACATCCAGCGCCTTAGCTTGCTTTGAATTTTGGAATTATACTCCTTTGCAAGCTACTTGAAATGCTTGGAATGTGCCAGAAAGAATAATTTTCTTCAGGTCATTTTTTCTTTCTTTGACATAGATCTTCATGAAAAATGTCAGAAATGGGGATACTTTCTTCCTATTTTTTCCAGTGTGTGTGTGTGTGTGTGTGTGTGTGTGTGTGTGTGTGTGTGTGTGTGTGTGTGTTTTCAGGCTTATGTTAGGACTCTTCCTAATCACTCTTTATCCTATTTATTGAGGAAGGGTCTTCCAATAAAACCCAGGCTTGCAGACATAGCTAGTTTCTCTGTCAGTTTGCTCTGCAGATTCTCTGTTTTTATCTTCTGAGGCTGCAATTGACAAGTGAGCCTCCATGCCTGCCTGGCTCTTATGTGGGTGATAGGGATCAGAGCCTTGGCCTTCAGGACTGTTCGGTAAGAACTTTAACTATCAGAGCCATCTCCTCTGCCCCAAGTGAGAACACTTTCCCTGACCCAAAAAAAAAAAAAAAAGAGAGAGAGATATGAACAGGCGTAAAATAGATTTGTTTCCCCAAATAGACATTTATAAAAAGATTTATTCATTTGTTTATTTAATTGTGTGTATGTACATCACCACATATACAGTACCTGTGGAGGTCAGAAGAGAGCACCAGATCCTCTGGAGGTGGCATTATAGACGGTTGTGAGGGACTTCACATAGATACTAGGAACTGAACCTGGGTCTTCTGGAAGTGTCATGTGAGTTTTTAAGTCAACTTGACACAAGCTAGAGTCACTGGAGGAGCCTCAATGAGAAAATGTCTCTTTAAGATCTGGCTGTAGCACACTTTCCTAATTAGTGATTGATGTGGGAGGGCTCCGCCCACTGTGGGTGGTGCTACCCCTGGGCAAGTGGTCCTGAGTTCAAGCTGAACAAGCCATGAGAAGCAAGCCAGTAAGCAGCACCCCTCCATGGCCTCTGCATCAGCTCCTGCCTCCTATCCCGACTTTCTTTCATGGCGAACAGTGATGTGGAAGAAAGGTGAGCCAAATAAACCCTTTCCTCTCCCATTTGCTTTGGTCATGGTGTTTTATCACACCAATAGTAACCCTAACTCATACAGAAATTGATACCAGGATAGTGAGGTATTGCTGTGACAGACCTGACCATGTATTTTTGGGATGGTTGCAGAAGGAATTTTGAACTTTGGGTTGGAAAAGCCGTTGAGTGTTCAAAGCTTGGCGAGCTGTTCTGTCGGGTCTTCGAAAGTAAGCATGTTGAGAGCAGTGCAGAGAATGGAGGCCTGGCTTGTTTTCGAGGGAAGTTTGAGGGAGTCCTTTAATGACTCTGAGGGCCATTTGCTATTTTGAGTTAATCTGTGGTTCTTAAGTTAGTTGGGGGCTGAAGAATCAGCTGAGATTAGCAAGATACCAGAACCACTTCCGGGAAAACCTTTGGTTTTACTGGGACAATTAATGCTGGTCAGCTGGAGCTGAGAAACTTGTGGTGGTTAAGAAGACCAGCAGCACTGAGGTAAAGTCTTGTGGGAGGCATTTCCTCAGAGCCAGCTCATACAAGCTGTATTCCAGAGGCTGCCAAGGTTGCACTCAATGCTGGCAGTTGTACTCGGTAGTGTAAGAATCGCTCATGTGGTACTGGTTTTGAAGGTGTGAAGGGGTCATGAGAGAGGCTGAGGCTTGGCACTGTGGCAGGGTTGGAGTCCCTGAAGAGAGACCAGGAGAAGCTACTGGTGAAAAGTGAAGCTTGGTTGCACAAGGTTTCCCAGCATTTTGGAGATGCCATTACCATGGGAAGGCTGGCCTGAGCCTAGGAGACAAGGTATGTGTGCTGAGGAGGGGTGAACTAGAGAAGGGACCCAATCACTTTGGAGGAGTTCAGAAGATGGTGAGCAAGTCCCAGGTATTGGACGTTGAATTATTTACACTGTTGGGGTCTGGTTTTGCTTCATTCAGATTGTGACCATGCCCTGGTTCTTCCCTTGTGAAGTAAAAAAAAGAAAAGTATTTAGCTTAATTCTAATTTTTATAGGAGTCCACAGAAGAGATTTTGAACTTTTAAAAGGGATTTTAAAGAGACTGAGTTGTTTTTTTTTTGTTGTTTTTTATACTTTTTATAGTTTCTTTGTGAATATCAGAGACTGAATATTTTAAAGGGAGTGAACTTTTAATGTGTCAGAATTTGTAGACTGTGGGACTTTTAAAGTTATTCATGTTTTTAGTGTGAGATCTTGGGGGTGAATAAGAAAGGGAAAGTTATGGCTTAGTGGTGATGTGTTTGTGTCAAGTTGGCAAGGAGTCACTTATGCTGGCTAGTTTGCCAACTTGACACAAGCTAAAGTTATTGGAGAAAAGGAACCCCAATTCAGAAAATGCCTAACATCAGGCTATAGGCAAGCCTGTAGGATATTATGCTAATGTAATTGCTATGTAATTGATGGGGAGGGCCTGGCCCATTGTGGATGGGGCTACCCCTGGACAAGTGGTTCTGGGTTCTATAAGACAGCAGGCTGAGCAAACCATGGAGTTTTATTATAGAAATAGTAATCCTATCTAGTACAGGCAAGAGGTGCTCTCAATCACTGAGCCATCTCTCTGGATCCCTAACACTGACTTCTTATTGGTTGGTTGAAAGTTTGTATACAATGCATCAAAGAGCCCATGGGCATTCATATGGCAATCATTTCATTTGTGGTGAGGAAACATGGCTTTTTGACAGTGGACTGGTAGCTATGTATAGTACCACAATCTATTGACTTGGGAATATTGCAAATATTATAATAAAAGCTGCCAAAATTTTGATAGCTTATAGGCTATCTGGTATTTATTATTTGTATTAACATAACTGGGCTTCACACCCTGTTAGATAGTTTTACTATAGTTCTCAATTTATTATACTATAAAGGAGTCTTGTAGTATCACATAAATATTAGCTGTTATCACTAACCAAAAAATTGTAATACTATAGATACATCTATATTTTATAACATACAAGTTAAATTGACATATTATATACACACAATTATATAATGTTCTTGGGTATTTTATAATATAATAAATATATTCTATTTATGAATATAAAACATGAGACTTGTACAAAACTATATTGCAGCCTTTTGAACCCTGCGATTAAGTTTTTACACTAACTTATTGGTGTGTGTATCATATATATCCCAGCGTATACATGTGGAGGTCACAGGACAACTGTGGGTTTCAAAGACTGAATTCAGGTCAGCAGACTTGGCAGCAAGCACCTTTAACCACTGTACCCTCTCACAGGCCTTTCATTCCACTATAATTTAAGGCTTAAGTACATTGCACAATATTGAGTCTATTGTAATTCTATGTGTATGTATGAATGGTTATATCTAATGCAGCAATACATGCATACATACCATACAATGTAATCATAACATGATTTTGTGATTAACACATTGTAGAGTATGTCTTAATTTATAGTAATGTACGACAGAAAATTGTGCATGTCACTAGTACAGTTTTATCCTTTTAACCTTTTATACTCTGTGCTTCTATTCAGTGTTATTTATTACACATTATCATATGATGTCACACTTTATTATATGACATCACATCATTCCTCACCGGCACTTATTGTCAAACATGTTACATTTTGTTTTTCAAATGATTTTAAAAATGATTTGACATGAAGCCATGCCTCCCCTCATGGATTTTGTGAGCTACTTGGGTGGGGATGATTGGCAGGCTGACCCCGGGACTCTCACCGGATCTGTGTCCTGTGATTTCTACATACCTGGTAGTTTATGGTCTTTACTTGGTCTCTGAAGTCATCGGTGCCATTCTCTGGATATGTGAACACTGAGGAAGGAAAGAGAGCAGAGACATTTTGCGTGGCTGGTAGCCATGATCGGGGACACACATGATGAGGCCAGTTATGATTATTCCCTGAACTGGAGCTTTTCATGGCTGCTTCCTGCCCATCCCCTTCTATACCTCCCAACCTCATTCTTCTTTCGGAGATGATTTCCCTGCCTCCTCATGCAGCATCCATCTAATGCCAGTTGTCACTCCACTGTCTGTGTGTACCCAGTGATACATCCTCACCATCACTGGCCAGCTATGTGTCTGAAACTCTCCGTTGGGAGTGCCCTTTCGGAGGCAGAGGCATGTTCACTGTGTGGAATCACTCGAGAAGACAATTCGGTTCCTTCAAGTAACCTTTCCGAAACACTCGGAGTTTTACGTTCAACACCGTGATGCTCTTAATGCTGTCTTAAAGCATTAGCTTTACACTTCAGAGCATTCCCCTGATTGATTACTTCCAATGTACAGATGCCACTGGCCAGATCTTCTTTGAGCTTAGTTTTGGACTGTGTAACCCTCTTCCATGTGTGCTGGGGCATCAGCTTGAAGGCATCCCCTTTGATAATGAAATCTCTCACGATAGGCAGAGATGCACACTAGCCCAGAGTTCTCGCCATCCAGATGCACACTAGCCTAGAGTTCTTGCTGTCCAGATGTACACTTGCCCAGAGTTCTTTACAGAAACCTAGTGAGCTTTACTTGCCAGATCTTGCCCAGTGACCATGGCCAGCTTGTCATTTTCACTGGATAGATCTTCCTTTGAGTAAATTATTCTACCTTGTGATGGCTTGACTTTTTAGAATAACATATTTATTCTTCATTCTTTTCCTTTACAATAGCAAGAAGATATCAGGACATGATGGCACATACCATAGAAATCCATATAATTTGGTCAGTTACTTTTATAAAAATCACTCTGTATGTGTGTGTGTGTGTGTGTGTGTGTTGCACACTACAGTGTGCTTTTGGAGATCAGAGGACAATTAGGGAGAATCAGTTCTCTCCTTTTACCATGTAGGGCCTGGGGATTGCACTCAGGTTATCAGACTTGGAGGCAAGTCCTTTTACCCACTGAGCATCTTACCAGCATCTCTACTGTTAATGACACAGACCAAGAAATTCTACATTAAAAACATATACAAAACAAGAGCTCCTGCAGAACTACTAAGGAATCTTAACTCTCCAGGGCATTCAGTTTATAATTCCAGAGTTTACAGATACAGTTTCATTGGCACAAGGATGTCCAAGATGCCCACATGCTACCAATGGAGCATCACTGAGTTGTGGCAAATGGTCCCTTCCCACAGATTTTGCCTGAGGCATTTGGTCACTTGGAGTTTACTTGGTGAAACAGGACAGAGACCGGCAACACCCTTTTCTGGTATTACATCATCTCTTCAAATCCTGGTGAAAACACTTGGTTCTGTAAGTATAAAACTGTATTCTTCCGAAAAGATTAGTAAATAATTGAATGGAAACAAAGAGGATCTAAAGAAGGGAATCATATCAGGTGAGTCTACAATGTCCAGTTTGGAATAATTGTACAGCTTTAAGTTTCATTGTATTTTAGCCTTTCATTGAATAGCCATCAGGTCTATTTAGTTCAAATGTGCATTATGCTATGAACTGTCAAGAAAATTATTTGAAGTGACCTTTAAGTTTTTCAGATCTGCAGTCAAAAGCAGAGTGGAGCCAGGAGTAGTGGGGGTTTTAAAATCTATTTCCTCGAGCCATTTCTTCTTCTTCCTAAGATTTTATTTTTAGTTATTTCATTGTGTGTGTGTGTGTGTGTGTGTGTGTGTGTTTGTGTGTGTGCACATGAGTGTAACTGCCTGTGAGGGTCAGAAAAGTGACAGATCCCTTGGATCTGGAGTTGTGAGCCACCATGCATGGGTGGTGGTGATCAAATGTGGGTGAGTGATTGGAAACTGAACTTAGGCCTTCTGCAAGAACCAATGTCCCCTTCCCCCTCTCCAAATTGTTTCTGAAGCTGATTTGCAGAATGAAAGAGAAAAGTAAGTCAGGTGTCTGTATACTGCCCAACTCTATATATTGCACAGTGTGATACTACACAATATGTATATTGCACAACCGGGTATACTGTACAACTGTTATTCTAGCTGCTTTATAGTGTTTTTTTTTTCTTTCATTTTGTAGATCTGTGTTGCCCATGTCCTTTTCCTTTTTAATGATATATGTCATATTACATTACTAAGTTATCTGATAGGGGCCCGTATTTAAGTTCTTGGTCTAATCCCAAAGTAGTTATCATGCCGTGCCCTTTAAAAGTCCATCACTGGGTTCAGTGCACGAGAAATTTTACTACAGACTTTTGCATCCATACTCAAGAGAGAGCGGCCAGCAATTTCCCCTTCTCCGGCCTTGTTTGGTTTTGAAGTCAGTATTGTAATAACCTCGTAAACCAAGTTAGAGAATGTGTCTGCCCTCCCCTCGGTACTTTTGCTTCTCAGAAAGAGTTTATGTAATGTGGAAATTTTCTGCTCCTTAATTGTTTGGTAGAATTTACCTATGAAGTTGTCCAGGCTTGGTAGTTTTGTCGTGCAAATGTTGATTTGGTTTCTATAAGGATTAGAAATGCTCACAATTTCTCATTCCATCCTCTGCAGTTGGGCCACAGTCACTCTGGCAATTTTGGTATCAGCTCATTTAGAAAAGGTTGACAAGCTTTTCTGGGAGAATTTGACGGCTGTCTTGTCTTTTTGGTGTGTTATACTCCCCTTTTGGTTGTGACATCTTGATTTCCTACTTTGTTCCATCTTAAAAATTGTTGGAGCGTATAAATTTTGTTCTCTTTAATATCCACGCAGGATTTATTGCCCTGTCTTTGCAAGCTAATGATGTCTGCTTGTATTTTTATGATTACCATTTTCATGCTGTCTTTGGATGGGAGTATCATATTTTGTTTTCTGACTTTTTATTGACACCTGTATACATATTCATGTGTGTGCTCGTGTGTGTGTGTGTGCGCACGCGCGCGTGCGCGCACACGTGCATGCATGCTTGTGTTTGTGTCTACCTGTGTGTGTGTTTAAGGAGTCTGGAGGATAACCACAGGTTAAGTTCCTAGTGCTTTCTCTTTGATTGGTTGGCTCCTACTTCCCACTCAATTCATTCAATTTTTGTTGCCTTTTGCAGTTTAGAAAATTTGGTCTATTTTGCTATCCTTTGTCTTATCTTAGATCTTTAATGAAGCGCACTTTAATAAAGTTTAAAGTAAAATATTTTTAAGCTTCCCTCAAACAGTATGAGGATCACTGAAGGCTCATTGTCTATTTTACAGGTCAGCACTTTAGTTTATTTATTTATTTATTTATTTTTTGGTGACCAATGTATGCTTGCCTAGATCTAGATTTAACTTACATTTGTTACTTTCATTTTTATCATTTATTTATTTATTTATTATTCCATATGTATATGATGTGTGAAGGTCGTATGCGTGTGACGACAATTTTTAGGGACAAGTTTTCTTTATCCACAGTGGGATCTGGGGATTGAGTAGAGGTTGCCAGGCTTGGATGGCAAGTGCTTCTACTCACAGATCCTTCTCCCTGGCCCCATCTCTCTCTTGACTTTCCATTTCTTCTTGCCTCAGGATGTTTGCTGTGTATATAGTTTGAAAGGAAATGGCCCCCCAATGGGAGTGGCACTATTAAGAGGTGTGGCCTCGTTGGAGTAGGTGTGATCTTGTTGGAGGAAGTGTGTCACTCTGGGGGTGGGCTTTGAGGTCTCTTTTCTCAAGTTTGATTCAGTGTGACACTCAGTTAACTTCCTGTTGCCTCTGAGTCAAAATATAGCACTCACAGCTCCAGCACCACATCTTCCTGCATGCCTCCATGTTCCCTGCCATGATGATAATGGACTGAACTTACCTCTGAAACTGTAAGTTACCCCAATTAAATGTTTTCCTTTATAAGAGTTGCCATGATCATGGTGTCTCTTCACAGCAATAAAATCCTAAACCAAGACACTATGGCTGCTTTATTTATGATTCCAAGCTATGAGTCCTTCCTTTCTCCAACCCTCCCTCTTTCCTTTCTTCTTTCTTTCATTCTAAAGATGCCATATCACTGTTAGCTTCAGCAGTAATGTGTAAGACCCTCTTGTATAATTTTCATTCCTCTGTTATCATCTGCCATTCAGCATCATCAGTACTTGGCTGCCTTTGTAGTACTGTTGTGTCACAGAGATGGCTTCGAGGAATGGTGTCTTCATTCAGTTCTGTGAGTTCTAAGCCTGAATGTTCTCTTAATCCCATCTCTGTGTATGCCAGCTGGATGTGCATTGGAATTGTCCACTCTCTTTCCACAACACATTTACTCCCAGTCTTTGTAACCCTGGGTATTCACTATGTTTATTAGCTCTCTTCAGCTGTGTCGAATGCCCGATCCAGCTCGTCAAACACATTTCTACTTTACAATATTCTGGAAGCTCTCTTTTGGAGTTTTCTTAAGATTTTCATACTTGATAGTCTCTTGTTCTTTTGTTAGATTTTCTAGTTTAAATTAAGCATTTTAAATATAAATGACTATATAATTGTGTGATAATTTTGACACATATGACTCCGAGGCGCTGACCTTAAATTAACGGACTCTGTTACCTCTCCCTGATAGCAGCACATTTTCAGGTGACTCTGTGGTACAATGGCTAGCACAGAGGACTTCCATTGGGATAGTAACACATGTTCCTGTTCACTGATTTTGGATTATTACATTATGTTTGTTAAAAGCTTATTGTGGGGAATGTTTGAGTTCTTGATTTAAATTCCATAGACTGGAGTCACCTTTGCCTCTGCGCATGAATTATGAGCTTTGCTCATACAGGAAGCATGGATTCAGACTGTAAATTTAAGAAGGAAAGCTCCCTCTCTCTCTTATTCTCTTTCTACTTCCCCCCTTTCTCCCTCCTCCTACTCTCCTATTTTACCCTGTTTCTCCTATTCCTCCTCCATCTCATCTTCTTTCCTCCCCCACTGGTGACAAGTGAGCATTTGATATCTGGAAACAACATATACTAAAGACAAAGGTAAATGTTCAAAACCAAAGTTTGCTTACTTTTCTTTCTTGGCAAAAGTTCTTCATGCAAGCGTAAACTGAGGCAGCACTGGGCTTTGTGACATCCTCGAGTGGATATTGATTGGTTCAGTCTTTTCAGACGCGAACTTCTAAGGATGTGCACTACCTACACTCTGCTCCTTTTCCAGGGAAAACGACTATCAATATGATCAGAGTGAAATGTGGCCATTGAAGCCTGCTGGTGTGCCTTTTGGTCATGATGGAACATGCCATTCAGAACAGCTTGTGACCAGTTGCACAGAAATTCTGATAGGCTACACCTTCTTGTCCTAATCAAGAGGACCCAAAGGAAACTGCATCATTTGAGTGTGCTTTCTCCCCATTATCTGCATGGATGAGGGACCGAGAGCAACCAAGAGTGTGGAGCAAACTGCTGCATGATTAATCCCCCTGTAGCTGCTAAGGCATTGTGAAAAAAACTATGCCGATCAAAGGGCTTGTATATGAATCTACAAAGCGTGTTGCAAGTTTATAACATGCATCTTTCTCTTCCTATGACCTTTTTACTTTACTTTTCCTTATTCCTTACTTTAAAAGAATTGAGATGGGCTGCTTATGTAGTTTGGGCTGGCTTTGAACTTGTGATCATCCTGTCTCTGCTTCCTGAGCATTCAGATTTCAGGCATGTGCTACTGTGTCCATCCAGTCCTATGGATCTCTTTCAATATGGCTGTGAATTGCCAGTTAACATGGAATAGATGGAAAATAGTCAACTTTATGCTTTTGAGTGTGTTTATTCTTCACTCTTCATTTATTTGGAATATTCTCTCTCTCTCTCTGTGTGTGTGTGTGTGTGTGTGTGTGTGTGTGTGTTGGGAGTGGGAGGAACTGAGTGCTCTAACCCTACTTCTCAAACACCACAGATCATATACCCATGCCTATTCAGCAGGTACACTGAAATTCTGCATTTCTCACAGGTTACCCAAGTGATATGGGGTCTGTGGACAGGTAGAGCAGGAATCTCCAGGCTGTGTCTCTGCCTCAAGGAGCTTATGAAGAATTTGTTAGTAGTAATCACACTTTGCAATGATAATTCCCAAATCCAGCTGTTTGTAATGTGCAACTCTGTTAAGAGCAGTTGGCGAGAGAAAAATCTATCTGTCATTAAGGGGAATCTCAACTATCAAATGGACCGAGTCTAACAGGCTAGCATTAATGGAGTCAGACCTGGATGGCTGAGACAGCAAGCCCAGTGGAAGGCACGTGTTGGCTGCTCTCATGATCTATAGGCAGATTTGCTGATGGGCTCGATGTGGAAGTGTGTGAAGAAAGGGGGAGACTGACCAAATAAAAAGACTTTGGTCTAACCAATGGTTGAGTTGTATTCCTATTCCCTGAGCAGAGAGAGGTGTGGGAGAGTCCTTGTGGCTGAAGAGACCAAGAAACAGCATGCGTGTTTTTAATTTTATGGTGCCTGTGAGGCTGGAGACTAGGACAGAGCATGAGGTCCAGAAGGCCTTGTCTAAAGCCGCACAAAATATGCATACTAAGAAAACAAAATGTAAGCAGTTCACACAGAAGAAGGCTAAAACTGGTCACTGGTGCAGGCACACTGTCTCAAATCCATTCATCCGTGCACAAAATCTCCATGCCCTTGGGTGGAGAGTTAAGATGCTAATGAGGCCCCTGAAGGATGGAGTGGCAGTAGAACCATGTAACAGAGCTTGAGCAAGATGGTCCATGGCACACAAAGGAGCCTAAAGGCCCTGGTCCATTGTGCACTAGGCACCACTTAGCTCTGAAGCAATTTCTCTGCTCTGGCCAACTTCCCTATCCATTCTCTTAACAAATCGTCTCTGGTTCCATTGCAACTACGTGTCTTTGCTAATTCTTTGTTTGGAGACTCAAGAATCTGGAACCCATCTTAAAGTACTCCAGGGACCCTGATATCTGCCAATATTAGTTCCACATTCCAAAGGCTGGGCCTCATAGATATCTGAAAAAGCCTGATGCAGGAGATGAAGGCTGGCTTAATGTGTGTGGGTGGCATTACATTATCTTATTTAAAGATCACAGCAGCCTTATGGATTCACAGTATTGCAATAGCACTTAAAAACTGCTTTTGCTAACAAGTGCTGATTCCCCACTTGGGCCCACAAGGTAACTAAAAGCAAGGAGTGAGAGCCTGGACTCCCTGCCTTCATTTTTGTATCTGTAACTAGCTTAAGGCTTAGAGGTAAGACTTCCTCCTGAGTCATTTTGAATTCCAGGAAGAGCAAAACCTCTCAGATGAGGATAATCATCCATGAAGATGAGGCTGTATCCTTGCAAATATCAGATTAACAGCTCAACACTATACTAGACCACTGTGCAGAATGAAGCCTAGATAATGGTAGGCCACGATGGTCAGGATTGCAGCTTGACCAAGACTCCTTAATATGGCATATCTCTTGCCCTTTATTTTATTTTCATTTGTGCCTGTGTATGCATATGTATACATACATGTGTACAGTGCCTTTGGAGAAAAGAAGAGGGTGCTGGATCTCCTGGAGTAGAGTTAAGGCAGTGCATTGCCTGATGTGGGTGCTAGGACCTGAACTCTGGTCCTCTTTAAGAACAGCAAGTGTTCTTAACCACTGAGCAATCTCTCTAGCCTACCCTGCCCACTTTTTAAACTGCTTGTTTGTACCCTGGACCTCTGTGTCTGTTTCTTGTCACCTGTGGCCACTTCACTCTGCCTTTTGCCATTGTGTATCTATCTAGTTGCTTTATCAGGGATGGGTGGCTAAGCCTTGCCCATTGGAACTCCTAATGATGTCAATGCTTTCATTTTAGACATGGGTAGAAAGCGTCTACTCAGTGCCTCTAGGTCACATGATCTCGAAATCCAGAACAGGGCTTGCTGAGGCCTACATGTCCAGTGCAGAGGCCACCGGGTCCACTGAAGAAGACAGCCAGCAGACAGGTGACCAGAGAGATTAGACTCGGCATGAGCGGCTAGCTAGACTTGCCACATGAATGTGCAAGTTTAATTATGTGACTTGTGGCTTAATCTTTGAGATGTTAAACTCTGTGGCTGCTGGCTAAATCCAGTTACCAGGCACATGGTTCTACACAGACCTGGGCCAGGATGACTCTGTCTGATTCTTCCTGCTAACAGTGTGTCTGCTGACACGTTGCTAAGAGCTCAACTAGTGGTTGCGCCATATTTTCTTGTATGATGCTAAAGAACCCATGAACTGAAGTGTCCAGAAAAAAACAGCCTCGCCTGTGTTAAAGGCTCAACAAGGCTGATCAACCGACTAATCTCTGTGACTGTGGAGTCAGTTCTTACAGATGTGGAGCCAAACTATCTTGGTGACTTTTAGCCCCCATAACAGGAATTTATCACTCTCCTGTGTTTGATCTCATATCCTTGGGTCTGTGAAGCAAAATCTTCCTCTATCTTCCACTAACCTGAAGGCTAAGGTTGTCTTCAGATAGTTGAAGGACTTTTAGGTTTTGTTGTAATCTGCCTAGCTATATCCCTACTAGTTTAGTGTGTGTAAATGTGTGCACATGCATGAGTGTGTATGTGTGTAAACAGGTACACATAGAGGCATGAAGGGGCAACAGATCCATTGGAGCTGTAGCTTTATGAGCTGCCCTATGTATGTGCTGAAATCCAAACTCTGCCTCTCTGATAGAGCAATCAGCCCTCTCAACCTCTGACCCAACTCTCCAGCCACCATATTGGTTTTTTTCCGTGTGTGTGTGTGTGTGTGTGTGTGTGTGTGTGTGTGTGTGTGTGTGTGGTATTGTGTGCTTGCATATGGATGTTCTTATATGTTCAGGTACTGATGGGTGTACAGATTTGAGTGCACATATGTGCCAGTGTTTGTAGAATCTAGTGTGGCCAACCTCTTCTGACATTCCTTGGGCATCATCCATTTTTTAAACATGTAGATTCTGGACATTGATCTCAGGTCCTTGTGCTTTCAAGGCAAACACTTAGTGAGATATTTCCTATCCCCCACAGTGGTTTCTGAATCTTAATAATCTCCTAAAATGACTGGAACGTGTCCCTCTCTTTCTGGCTGGGCCACTGCCCATGATTCAGGTACCTCAGATGTGGCACAAAGTAACATCCAAGTGGTTGGGTTTTCAGATCTAATCTGGGTCAGTTTAGGAAAAACTCATTAGCAAAAGGGTTGCAAACAACTCCTAAACCTTTTGATGGCCAGGCCTGTAGGTCTGAGAACTGAGGAGAGAGGGTAGAGGGAAGCAGAATCTGATTATTGGAATTGCCTGGAATGGACACCCACCTTTCTTTAAGAAAACCAGACTCTTGCCCAGGTCACATTCCAGAGCTATCAGAGAACGAGAGGGGCATGAAAGAAGTGGACACAGCGCCTGTAGCCCCTGACAGTGTGCTCAGGTCTCCCCACTCACCACTGTTGCTGCGTGTCCTGAGATCAGACCCATCTCCCGGTCCATCAGCCTCTTCAGGGACCTCCACGAGCTCTGACGTCTTAGAGGAAATAGGAGACATCACAGAGTAAGCCAGTGAGCCGTGATGTATCATGGCCAACTGAGTACAGAGCTTTAATGCCAGTACTGGAGCTAAAGAGGGATTAAGTGCACAGCATTTGTGAATTTTCAGCTCTTATATATGGTCTCTCACTGATTGGCATCTTAAGGGGCACACAGATACCCACATATATTCATGCACTTTGGCATGGTGTTTATTTAAATCACATTTAGCACCCTTTCTATGGTTCTCCCAGTAGATGAATTAATGACACATCACCATTTGAACTTCAAATGAGAATGATATCCTCGTCAGAAGGTCATCAGGTCATGTCACACATTCTAGGAGACTGAGGAGGGCTTGCTTGGTAAAGTGGTTGCTGTGTGAGCATGAGAAGCGAGTCCCCTTCCTCTTTAGTGTCCCCTACAGTCCTAGCAAAGTGTCCACTACTATTCACCCTCACCACATAGAAGACAAACTTCAATGGGGTTAATGTTATGCATAAGCTGGGGGAAAAAAGCCATGGAAGTTGTTTTTCCTTTTTAAACTGTCACTTTTCTTCTTGAGAATTTCATTAATGTAGACAATGAAATATGATTATGATTTTTTTTCCTCTTGGAAGTCAGTAGAAGGACAGAGCTTCCAATGGGTTTAAAGACGGCATCTTAGAAAGTGTGTGGCATCAGAAGGCTTTCTAGCCTCACATGACCTACATCCCTACTCTCTACTACTGGACATAGGAACCCACAACTGTTTGACACTAAGCTTTGAGCTCAACAATCCTTGAGGTTGGGTTGTCAATGAGTTTGAGGGACCTGCTGTCTCTCTCCTTTTTTGGGGGCTACAGACACACCATCTGCACTGACTTTTACCTGGGTTCTTGGAATCTAACTTGGGTCTTCATGCATGCTGCTAGAACTTAATCAACTAAGCCATCTCCCCTGCTTGACACCCAGACACTTGATAGGACTGATGACAAGGTCCATTACCGAGGTTCTGGGGGGTGAGTCAGAGCCACTGCCTGAGCTGCCCTTCTTCGTTCTCTGGGCCAGGGAAGTGCCAAATCGGAGGGCCTCATACACGGGGTCCACCTTATTGCCACAAGCTGCAAAAGAAGGAAAATATCCATTACAGAGAACCCAGAAGACCCAAGAAGCAAAACTTCTGCCAAAGAGTCCCAGGGACCCGGCCAGGGGGCTTTGTGTGTTCACTCTGTCCTAATGGACTAGGGCTCACATCAAATGCTCTCGCTACCTAGTGGAACTCCACATGTCCAACCAGAACTGGGGTTCACATCATCCTGCTCACATTCTCCCAGGAAACCAGATATGTCTAACTGGAACTCTGCCCCCGAGGAGGTGTTCCTGAGTGGGTAGCTTTCCTCTTTGTCTTCCCACTACACCTTGATGGGTCTTCCCAGAGACCAGTTTGTTTCCTACTGTAAGAAGTGCTGATCTCTTGAGAGAAAAATTTTGAAGCAGGGACACATGTTCTCAAACAACCAGCCATCAAACATTATACGTCTCATGAAAAGTTGTCCAGTTTATCATTTCTAGTTTAAAATCCATCCAACTAAAAAGGCTGTGGTGTAGGTATGTAGAGACTTGCAGGTACAGAAAACAAAACAAACAAAAGCAACCCACCCAACTAAAACAACAAAGGGAAGCCAATTAAAAGAAGATAGCCACACCACATCTGTAGAGGGTACTTCATTAAATAGTGTCGTTTGTTGAGTTTCTACTCAGCATTGATATACATGTTACATTATATATATACCATATACAATATATAGTATATGTATATACATATGCATATGTATATGTATATACATATATATACATGTATATACATGTGTATATACAATATATATTATATATATATTGTATATGATATATATATATATATATATATATATATATATATATATATATATTTGTAGTGGGTATTTGCTCTGCCCATGACATTGGGCTATGTGGCCTGATAGAGGTAGGTGCTTCTCATCTGCTGACAATGTGACCTCTTAAAAAAGAAAGGGGGAGGGGCTCAAGCTCTTTTGGGTGGTGAAAACCCAGTTGATCCAGCTTTCCAAGGACTCTGCAGCAGGATTTACCACATTCTGTATTCATGAGTGTACTTTTTCCCCTTTTCATATTTTTATAAATCCTTGTTACGCATTAGATAGATGCATGTGGATTTCTCGCTGCAATATATGCTATATATAATTATAAATACTACATAAATATATAAATAATTGTGAAAAGTAATGACTACTGGCTCCATCTTACAGCATATGGCAGAACGTTCAATGATGCTGTTGATAAACAGAGAGCTCACTCTGCACCAGGGCTGCAGGGTGCCATGCCCCATGCTGATGGTTGAGTGGATGTGTTGCTTTGATGCTGATGGTTGGGCAAGTGTGTTGTCCTGTTTCTGAATGTCTGGAAATTATGGCATCTGCTTTTGAGACTGCTATTTTTAAACTCCATTAGGGGGAATGATGAAAATGTTTCCTCTCCAACCAAATAAGTAGAGCTAAAAAGCAAACCACCACACAGGTAGCCAAGGCTGTCCCACTGGCTTTGTAGTTCTTATAGGGTCACTGTCATCACTGACACCTCAGTGCATCGCCGTCCCAACTCACCAATGGGCATAACTTCTTTAATGCATCCAAACTGTTCATGGATGAGCAGAGGGGAGCTGTAGTAACGCCGAAATCCCTTTGGCTGGAGACAGAATGAAGAAGAGAAGGGCTTAATGTCAGAGAGGAGATGGAGAAAACCAAGCAGGAGTCTTGCCTGTCGTTGCCTCTCATTAGTGTACTGACATAGGCTGTTAATGCTATGATTTACCACTGACTGGAGACGAGGCGAGTAAGCTAAGGTTCCATCTAGAAGGCAAGCTTCTAGCTTCCTGGCCCTTGCCTTTCCTACTGGGCCCTATAACTTCACTACATACAGAACCCCCCACCCCAGGATACCTCACACAGTTTTACACCACAGCTTACTGTGGGTGCTTCAAATTGTAAAAAGTCTCCACAGGGGAAGACAGAGGTCAGGGCATGCCCAAGGCCCCTGTATGTTTTCAGAGTGTCACCCAGAACCATCAACTTGGTTCTCTAGCTTCTGTGTGTTTCTGACCTGTGGTCTTTCCCTTGTACCGTTGGAAACACAGAGGGGAACAGATGTGAGAGGAATTTAAAAGAAGAGGACATTGCAAGCCAGAGTCCCTGGATGTACTTTCTCAGAACCTAGATTTGATATGCTCCAGGGTTGGAAGGTAACTTGGTGACTTGGACCCTACAAGCATCCATGAGTCTGCTCACATGTTCTTGCAAGTGGTATCCATGCTTGTCTGGGCATTGCCAGAGACTGGGGTTAGAGGCAGCTCCCTACCCTGAAGGCGGGTCTTTGTTGGCATTGCATCTGGTGTTAAGATGCTGTACCTACTCGTCATGAACTTCTCCTTGGATGTGGAAAAGCCATCAGAATTCCTTCCTGGGCTCAGATTAACAGTTTCTGGAGACTGTTGCTAATTCCCTATAGTAGATAATGGTGTAATATTTTGTCACTGTGGTTTCAGTGGCCTTCAAATGTGTTCTGAGGCATGCTGGGACTGGAGGCCACACTGCTGAGATGGTCTGAGTGGAATGTGCGCAGACTGTGAGATCTCTTTAGTCTGACAAACAAGACTGTCACAGGGACACTCAGGCCAGAGGGTTAGCTCCAGTCTTTTCTCCACCCCCAAGCAAATAGCAACTAATTCAACACCTTGTAACCTGGTTTGCATGGGCTGATGGAGCTCCTGCCATGTTTAATTTTCACTCTGAAAACCTGAATTGTCCTGGGTGAAGAGAAATGAAATGCTGTAGCCGAGAAGTCCCCACCTGAGAGAAAGCTGGCACCTTCTGAGGATTGGACCCCTTTCCAGTGTAGGGCATCTGTTACAGAGATTGACATATCTCCCCACTCCTTCACTGTGCCCATGGAGCTGATGGGCCGGCCAGCACTTCTGAGGATGCTTCAGAACTCCTGAGGCGTTTAGAGGGGGTGGCTCCCCTGGGACAGGCTCCTAGGGCCTCTGGACAGAGTGTTCCAGGGTTCCCTCAGGCTGACACCAGTCCTTACCAGCTTGCCCATGCACCGCTGGGGTGCCAGGCCGTCTGCACACTTGTGATGGATGCTCATCTTACAGGCCCCGCAGCGCAGTCCATGCTTAGCGTGTGTTCCTGTCAGGCACACAGCAAACTCTGGTTAGGTACAGCTTGCCCTTTCCTGTGGTCTGGTCTGAAATCCCTGAAAAAGGGGGATATTTTCTAGCCAGTTAATTCTTCTCTGGGATTTCTTTCAGGAAACTTGAAAACTGGAAAATTTTAACATTGCGTATCCTTTCCCCCATCCCACATCTCCTGCTTAAGGCATCCTCTCTGGTTCCTCCCTTTTTATGTTCAGGACGTTAGCAAATCCATGCTTTCTTTGTCTTAATTTAAGTTAGCAAAAGCCACGTCCTTTGCTGTTCATGTAAAATGCCCATCTCTTCTCTTTTGGTCCTTACCGAGTCACATTGTTCCTAACACCTTACCCGTTCTCGCCTGCTCACCCCGATGGGGAAGCGTGACGTGAGTTGAGGAAGCGTGCACTCCCTCATGCTCATGACATGCTATCCATGTGGCTGACTTTCAGTTCTCTGGATGCATTAGCTCTTTCGTCCCTCGGGGTGCTTGCATGCATACTTTATATATCTACAATGCAGTCCTGTCTCCCTTTCCTGGGCTAGTGACCCCTTCGCTTTCACTCTGTCAATTGCACCAAGCATTTCCCTTCCCCTGTCCAAGTATTTTCTTCTCTTTCCCCTTCCTTACATCTCCCTCCCACCCCCTCTTCCTCTTTTCCACTGTCCTCTCCTCTCCCCTCTTCTTCCTTATTTCCACCCTGTTACTCTCACGCTTCACTCTCCCTCCGCCTCCAGTCCCCCAGCATCTCCTTATATCCCCCCCCCACATCCTTCACACTGGAGATGAGCCCTGGGGTCTTGCACATGCTAGGTATGCACTCGAGTCACTGAGCCACAACCCAGCCCTCCGTGTGATCATCTTCTATACCACTCATCATAATTAGCAATGAGCATTTACTTGAAAGCTTGCTTTTGTCTTTCCTTCCTTCCTTCTTTCCTTCCTTCATTGAACTCAATGAGACCAAGGACGGTGTGTGTTGGTTTGTTGCTGTAAATCTTGCCTTGTACACAATGCATTAAATAACTAACGAGCAAATTCCTTCATAATCACAGCACACGGTGACAAAACAGTGGCTGATCCGAGGTCTTCATGGGAACGGATTCCTCAACCCTGTGGGAATATTTAGAAGCTAGAAGGGGAAGTGGAATTCTAGCTGCATTGTTTAATTTTAAAAAATGAGTCTTCAGGGGTCATAGTTTGCCCCAAGGCAACAGAGGTCTCACCTTGCTCACCCCCTTCTGTTCTTTCACAGCTTGACTCAAATACTCCTCCTGGTTCGCCCCCCCCCCCCCAGGATTGCTTACTGTATATGCAGATGAAGTCAGGGTTAGTTAGATGGTGTAACAAAGAAATACAAGGATCCATATTTCATCTGGGAAAAGCAATGCGTACATCCCTGAATGGGCAAAGGACTAGAAATCCTTTGGAAGTGTCATCTGGAAAGTCCCTTCAGGAAGCACCATTTAACAGAGGATCTGTCTCTGTTATACGTGAAGACAGAAAGCTTCTCTCTCTTGTTTCTTCATCCTCACAAATGCACACGCGCGCGCGCGCGCGCACACACGCGCGTACACCCACACCCCCCCCCCCCACACACAGAGATCATGAAGGTACATTACTTGTTTATACACAGCGACAGAAAAGACCCCATTTGTTTCTGAGAAAATCCCTCAGGTAAAGCATGCTGTTCTTTCAAAGGCTGGCCTTGGAGAGCAATGGCTTTTCATTTCACTTCAGAGCCTGCTGTTTGCACCTAGGTGGGAAGGTAAGAAAGATCTTCAAAGGGAAGTGGCTTTGCTGTGAGCTGGCCTCTGAAATGCTGTCATTATAAATGATGGTATATTTTCCTGTATCTATATATTTCCTTTCCCTGACTCCGGTTTTCTGGCCGCTTTCATACTCTGCTGCTTAGTATGAATCAGATTGCCAGCAATTACTCAGTGTCAGCTGTGCCCATTTTCACTGTGCAATGACAAGCTTCCCTGAAGGTTGGTGGGGAGTGGGGCTTCTACTCTCAACTTCAGAGAACTGGGAGGGAGTGGTTTGGATCACTGCAGCGGTCCTGGTTTATTCTAGAAAAATTTGAGATGCTTGATCTGACTTCGTTCTGTTATTCCTGCTGTCCATCACCAATGTCTGGCCATATGTTCCCCTTATGTCATCCAACTACAGGGAAACACTTAGTTTTGAATTTCAGTGCATCTCCACTGGGTCTTCAAATTTAAAAATGCAACCACAGATTTCTTTTCCCTACCTTCATCATCAAATGCGAACCTTCTCTCCACAGGGCTGCTAACACAACAGTTTCACAATGAGACATCATCCCTTGACCTGTGGAAAGGTTGTGTCCTAATCAGATAAGCATAAGCTGAAAATAGTTTGAGTCAAAAGTGCATAGAAGAAGTTAGCTAAGGCCAAGCTGGTCAAGGGCTTGCCTTGTGAGCATGAGGGACTGAGCTCAACCCAGGGCTCACATCAAACATAAAAGCTAGGTGTGATGGTGTGTGTTTGTAATTCCAATGTAGGGCTCCCTGGTCACCTAGCCTAACCTAATTGGTATGTTTCAGGCCAGTGAGCAATCCTGCCTCAAAAACAAGGTGATTGTGCCTGAGGATCCATACCTGAGAAGGTCTTCTGGCCTCCATAGGCATGTGTACACATGTATGCACTTGTGTATCTGCACACTCACAAGCATGCACAAACGCATACCTATATGGACTGCACTTGAAATTCTTACTCTGCTACACACCGTCGCTCAAAAGAATGTGGTATACAGAGCTCTTGCTTCCCCGGCACCATGGGGCTGTCTAGTTGGAGCTCACTGCTACCCAGCTTCTTGAGACAATTTTACAGTTATATTGATAATGGTCCTGGGATATGATCAAAACCTGAAGTACAGATTTTTCTCAATGTGTACAGCTTTCTCATCATAAAATTAAAGTCAGGAACTTAAGTATAACAAAGGGATTTCACAAGGGCTTGCCATCCAGCATGACAACTTGAGTTTGACCTCTGTAATTGTTGTCTGACCTTTATATACAAGCAGGGTACATACACCCCTGACACACAAGACAAACAAATAAAGGTAAACATTTTAAAAGAAAGGAGTGTGTCAGTTTAAATACTTAGAAACAAAGATGTTACTGGATTTCAAGTAAGTAGATTGGTACAATACACTTACTCATGTCAAAGGCCTAGTAAAATTATACTGTAGGAACTAAAAATCACCAATAGGAAGGAAGAATAGAATTCAGCCTAGTATTTACTTGGAAGAAAACCTCAAAAAGAGTCAAATCCTAAAGTTCTGGCAGAAAATTATTCCCAAACTAGTTTTTTATACTAAGCTAAATTACCACATATAAGTGATGGCAGGATTGATATTTTCAAAAATGTGGATCCTTCTTTAAAATACTTTCTTTCCATGTGCTCATCCTTAAAAAAAATAACTACTGTAGAATGTGCTCTAGAAAAATGACAGAATAAGTTAAGAAACTAAAGATCATTAGATGTAATGTAGAAGAGACGTGGGTAGAAGTAGGGGCTCCCATATAACTCTGCAGTAGCCCAGGCTGGTGCTGCAAGATGTAAAAGGGAGGGTAGGATGAAGAATAAGACAAAGGAAACAGACATTTAATGGCTTTGATTTTACAGCAGACGCAGCATTTGAAAGATCTGTGGGAGGATTTATAAATTATAGAGATAGGAAAAGTTAAGGGAGTAGAAAGGGCATTCTTTAATTTGAGGGAAAGCAAAATGTGTTTAAGAAAGAAATGCAATCATAGTAAAACATTTGAATTAGAAAATATCAGTGATTAGTCATGATGCCTAAACTGACCTTCAGACTTACACAAAATTGTGTTTTAACTGTTGTTTGGAAAGGGCAGAACGAGGAAGACAGAGGCAAATGTGTCTGGTGGCCCAAGAGATGAATCCTTATCTACAGCAGGAAGTCATCATCGATGTATTAATCAGTACAGACAGCACAAGCATGTCCTTGAGAACGATGGATGTAAAGGTCACAAAGAGCAATGAGACATGAGGGAGGATACTCTTCTGAGTCTGGGATGAGCTGGCTTCCACTGTTGCACTTTTCAGACCATCTCCATTGAACTATTCTCTTGTACTATTGTGACAGAAGGCAGATAAGAGGAAGTGCAGGATGACTTAGAGGGCAAAGGAGCTTTGCAGCTCAGCATGATGAGGGTCAATACAAAGACCTACATAGTAGAAGGAGAGAACCAATTCCTGCAAAGTGGTTCTCTGCTCTCTACACGAATGCATGCTCTCTCTCTCTCTCTCTCTCTCTCTCTCTCTCTCTCTCTCTCTCTCTCTCACACACACACACACACACACACTTGTTTTTGAAAAAAAATGAAAGATGGAGTGTCTGGAAGAAAGATCAAGGTACCTGAAGGTGACTAATGCTGTCACTTTATCACTTAATCCACCAGTTACTCCTTGGACTTGTGAAGTTCCAGCATGAACTAAGACAGTTGTAGGAATCATCAGTGGTAATTAAGAAGAATGTCAGATGGAACTTCAATGCTTTCCCTTAGGGTTGGGAGATGACCCGGGGGCTAAAGGGCTTCCTATGTAAGAGTAAGGACTGCCTCTGGATCCTCAGAATCCATTTTAACCTCATCTGCCCTTTTTCCACAGCAGACACCTGAAATCCCAGCATTCCTATGGGGAGATGGGGGACAGAGATGGGATCTCTGCAAGCTGGTGGGGCACCTGGTCCAGAGGACACACTGACCAACAGAAAGAGACCCTGCCCAAACAAGGTGAAAGATATGGACCAGCGGATGAGGTTGTTGGTTCTCTGCCACCTGTGCTCCAACTCAACCCCCCCCTCACGTGCACAGGGTAAAAACTGTATGCAGAGACTGATTTTTTTCTCCATGCTTGTAGCTACATATACTGGATTAAAATGACATGCTATTAATGAAACCTACTAGATAAATATTTTAAACAGTTGTCCATACTGTTTATTT